TACTATTCTGCCTCTCTATTTAATTTATTTATTTATTCTTTTTTTTAATTAATTAATTAATATATGTATACATATATATACATATACTTTTCTATCTTTCTTTCTTGCTTTCTTCCTTACTTTTTTCTCTCTCTCTCTATCTCTTTCTTTCTTTTGTTTTCATTTGAAAATTCATATAATAGCAATGCTCCTCCAAGTACATACACTCTTCTCTCGCACGCATATTATACACACGCACACACATACAGATAGACGCACACACATATAGTTGTTATGTTTAAAAACGAGTATTTGGAAAATCCTTCTTCTCCTTTTAAATCGTGTCCATAATCTAACTCGATGCCTAGACTAGATCTAATATAAATAAGGGTTTATTCGTGTCCTATCAATGAGATATATATATATATATATATGTAAATATATATATGTATATAATCTCCCTAGTTTTGACGACGACGACGACGACGATAATTTTCGTGAGATTCGAAGGTGTACCTCAAATTAGCTGATACAAATCTAGGATTGCAGTAACTCCTCTTGTCTCATAGATTCTTTCTCCTTTTCTCCTTCTATCTTTCTCTCTCTGTATCTCTCTCTCTTTCTCTTTCTCTCTTTCTCTTTCTCGCTTATTTTTGACATCGTTTTGATGACGTCATTGACGAAAAAGAACAACAACCGACATCCGTACAGCGTGAGATTTCACGCGCGTACACCGTATATATATTTTTGTATTTAGTATATACAAGAGATTATTGTGATAAACTTGAATAATTTCATTTTCAATGTTAGTCATTGGATTGGGTCGACAGGATCGATAAAATCAAAGGATTTTCCTCCCTTATTATTACTTTTCTTATCTTCATCGTCTACTTTTATTATGTTTGTTGTTTTAGGATAATATGGGGGGAAGGGGAACACACACATACACACACACACACACACACACGCATATACACGTCGTCGTTCTCTTACGCGATAATAAGAAGAAACCGATATTATTATATCGAGCGATTTAATAAAGTACGAGGCGGCTTCTTCTTTTATCTCTCGTGTAAATAAGTGCTGCGTGAGTAGTGGTGCAGAAGATGTGATTATAGAGATTTTGTCTTCATTTATAATCCCATTGAAAACTTTGCTTATGTTTTTTTTTTTGTTGGGTTTTGTTTTGTTTTTTTTTTTTGCTTTAGATCTTTTTATTATTCCTCTCGTTGGACCGATATCTTTCTCATTTTTCTATCCCGATCGAGAAATATGCGATACCTGTCACATATATATCTCGATATATCCGGTGTTGTTATTATTATACTCCATGACTTGGATTGGTCGCACCCACACACACGCACTTTGACCCTCGTCGTGTAACGATCAACATGACCTAACGACGACAATAACGACGACGACGACAATGACGAACGATCGGTATCATCGTCGACGATAAAACAACGACGACAGCAGCAACGATCTACCAGCAACAACAGCAGCAGTAGCAGCAGCAGCAACAACATCATCATCATCATCATCATCATCATTATCATCTGAATCTGAATCTTCATCACCAACAGCAGCAACAGCAGCAGTAGCAGCAGCAGCAACGGTTGTAATGGTGTTAGTTTTGGTGATGCTGACGGCGACAATAAGAAGTAAAGCCGATTTTGATATGACGGTAACGATGATAACCATTCAAAATTCGGCAAACTCCTTGGCACACTTTTCCGTAACCGAGATCCTCAGAGTTTCTTCCTCGTAGTCGTCGAAATTACTGGTATCCCCGGGACCCTTACATTTTGGTATAAACGGTGCTTCTATTCTCTTTTGGAAGACAGCTATCCAATCGGTACTCGCGAACCACTTGTGTCCCTTGATATCATTTACCCCTGCTTTCAAGTTACCGTACCTTTTAGTCAAATCGACTTGCAATAGATTCCGCAATAGATCTTTCAAATCTGAACCAAAGTGAGATGGATAACGTGGTTTTCCGTGGACTATCCTCTCGTAGATGACTAATGGTTGGTCCGCGAAAAAGGGTGGATAACCAGCTGCCATTTCATATACCAAAACACCTAAGGCCCACCAATCGACCGCTTTGTTATATCCCTTGCTTAAAATGATCTCCGGCGCCAAATATTCCGGTGTTCCGCAGAGGGTCCACGTTCTACCCTGTACCCTCTTGGCAAATCCAAAGTCCGTGACCTTGAGATAACCCTGAGAATCGATCAAAAGATTCTCGGGCTTGAGATCCCTGTAGATCAAGTCGAGATAATGAAGGTATTCGAAAGCTAAGACTATCTGTGCCGCGTAAAAACGCGAATGGGGCTCGGAAAAACGTCCGACCTTACGTAAGTGACTGAACATCTCGCCGCCGGGTACGTACTCGAGCACCATGTAAAGATACGAATTGTCCTTGAAATGAAAACGCAAAGATACGAGGAAGGGAAAGTTAATAGCCTGCAGTATTCTCTTCTCGTTAAGCGTGTGCTCGACCTGTTTAAGCTTGACGACTTTTTGCTTATCCAATATTTTCATAGCGTAATATTCCTTGGTTGGTTTATGTTGTACGATCATGACCCGTCCAAATGAGCCAGTACCAAGTGTCTTGATCCGCTCGAAATCGTCGAGTGCAGCTGTATTCGTTGGATTCTTCTTCCACTTGTCCTCGAACTCTTTCTTCGCTTTGTCGAGGAACTCCTTGACGCTCTCGGCGGCGTCGACCTTCTTGTTCGCAGTCGCGGCATTGTTGCCCATTTTAGCAGCCGCGCTCGTTCCCGAGCCTGCCAGGGCTCCACGGAGTCCCAAAATTTCGAGATTACCGTGTTTTTCCTTAACACCGGTAAACACCTTCTCTCTTCCCACCAGATTCACCGCGAAAGACAGTCGTCCCTCCTCCTTTATCCCAGGAGTCTGACGAATTTCTACCTTCTCAGAATTTTCATTAACTCCTCCTTCCACCTCCTCCTCCTCCTCCTCCTTCCTCCTCCTCCTCCACCTTCGCCTCCTCCTCTTTCACTCTACTTTGCAAATGTGTTAGAAGAGAAAACGAAAAACTTTCCTTCTCTTTTAGCCTTCACGAAGGCAGCAACTCTCGACCGCTACCGCTATCACCACCACCACCACCACCACCGTTGCCGCTCGTTACTCGCGAACGAACCTTACGCCTACACATGCGCACGCACGTACGTACACGCGAGCGACTAACGCACGCACGCACGCACGCACCCGACGCGTTACACTTATCTACCGCACTCCGAACTCGGACACACACCGATGCAACAACACTCGGGACATACACCTCCTTTAATCCTGTCGGTCTTACTTAAATTTAAACCGTTTATTTCTATTTAGTATTTCGATTATTCTTTTATTATTAATACACGTCACGAGAGCACCATCAGGTCACCGAGAAAGACTTTTTTCCTTTTTCAGTTTGTCTTTCTCCTCCACCTCCTCCTCCTCCTCCTCCTCCTCCTCTTCTTTTTTCTTCTCTTCTAACTACTTCTACTACTGCAACTGCAACTGCAACTACTACTACTACTACTACTATTGCTACACAACAATCACAATTTTTTTTTCCTCCTCCTCCACCACCACCACCACCACCATCAAAGGCCGTCACCGATTTGACACACACGCCAAAATCCCTTTCCTCTTTCGATAGAAGATTTTAAAGGACTCCGCTTTCGACGGTAGACAAATGGCAAGTTGTTCACGCGAAAAAATGGGTCAGCACCAATCCTCCTCCGTGCCTCGCGCCATCTTCATTGTCGTTCGTGCCACCACCACCACCGCAGCAGCAGCAGCACCAGCACCCGGGTCCTCCTTCTCCACCTCCTCCACCTCCTCCTCCTCTTCTTCTTCTTCTTCTTCGTGTCTTCTTTCGATCACCAATGCCCAACACCACCCTCCTTTAATATCCTTCTCTCCTACTGTTATCTCCTCTTGCTATAATAATTTATTATTATTATTATTTTATTTTTCTCCGTTTTTTGTTTATAACTCTTCCAATAATGATTTTAATTATCTAACTGTGTAGTTTTAAAAACTTTCGCACAAGTAACAAATGGGTAGTTTTATTCCTTCCTTTCTCTCCCTCTATCTCTCCCTCTCTCTCTCTCTCTCTCTTTCGTTCACTGACACTTTCCTTCTTTCTCTCCCTCTCTTCTCACTCTCTCTCACTCGCTCTCTCTTTCGTTCTTTCTTTCTTTCGCTCTCGTTTTCAACAAACAACAGCAAGCAGTAGTAATAACGATATACCAATTACTTGCCACACTTGCTTGCGCTCGCGCGTTCACTCATTCTTGCTCACACATTCACTTACTACTTACTTATTTTATTTACTTACTACTCACTCACCGAAGAGTAGACAACGAGATGGTTGACGTAGTCGTTACGCAAATTTGTCAATTCCCTTCTTTTACTTTTTGTTTTTCACAACTTGAATCAGTCAAAGTCTTTATGTTATCCAATGAAAAACTAATTGGAATATTGTGTTCACTACTATGTCGAACGCGACCGATTATCGATCTTTCGAAAGTATCCGGATGCACGATTGCCAGAACATATAGAAGATAGAAAGAATAGGGCAATATTCTCTCCTAATTTAATCCCACAATAAACGAATTGTTAGCTCGGGGATAATGCTTCCGTAAAGATGGCGACCTAACTCTCTTTTTGCCTTTTTCTTTTTTCTTCTTCTTATTCTTCTTCTTCTTCTTCTTCTGTTGCTATTATTTCTTTTTATTTTTGTGTTTTATTTTTTGTTTTTCCTTTTGACTTCGTTTTACTTATTGTCTGTTATTTCTATTTATTTATTTTTTTTCTTTCCCATTCTATTATTTTCTTCCCTTCTCTTTACTTTCCTCCTTCCTCTCGTTTCCTTCGCTTAAAATGTTCACACATTTGCGAACGCTATCTCGCACGACGTGCTGTCCGGTGTAGACGATGGAATACTGTACGTCGGACAGCTCGTACCTTGGTTTACGCGGTTACCGATAGATGTAGCGACGAACCTTAGAATCTACCTGAAGTTAGTGGCGCCATCCTTAACCGCCATTTGAATCATGCGATGAACGAGACACGATGAAATACGAGCTTAAGGTTACACTCGCAATAAGATCACTTTTATAGAGACTTCTTATTGGCTATTTCATTCGACCAAAATAGAATGGCGGCCAATGAATGAAAAACGATTACGAGAAAATATCGATAAAGGTTGTCGAACGAAATGGTCTCCTTTGCTCTTTCCAATCTTTCTAATGAATTCTTTTTTCTCTTTCTCTCAATCTTTCTCTCTCTCTGTTTTCCTCTCTTCTCGGAATTGCGAAAATGTTCCTTGAAGAAAACTTCACTTGTATTTATTAATAGATATATATATATTGTCCTGTTTACGATGCCAGCGCGCCATGACACTAAATATAGTTCGTACGATGCGAAAGAATATATTGAATCTTTTCACTTTTCTTCAAAATATGAGAAATTTTGTTAGTATTATTACCTATACGTAAAATTATCGATTTATATTAATATATATGAAATATAATTAGTAGATATATGTGTACTTTCATATTTAACTTGTTAAATAATATTTATTTCTGTAAAAAAAAATAATATAGTTTTAAATATAATATTTTTATAATTTAAATATAATTTTGTAGATAATATAATTTTAATAGGTAAATCGTGATAATCTTGCAACATTAGAGTTTATTTTCGACAATTCAATTTGACGTTAAAGAAATATTCCATTTGGTTGTACAAGTTTACGGTGTGTGGAATATACATATATAAAACTTACGAATATTTTCTGAATCATCCGATAAAAAAAGACACGTGCACGTAGGTCGAACCGTTTTTGAACGTGAATATTATTTCACTATAAATTACCAACCAAATATATATATAAATATAATTACATACATACACATTACATATCTGTAACACGTATTTGCCATTCTCTGTGTTGACACAAACTAAAGTTACAAGATTAGGATTTATCGTAATGTAATTAAGATTTTATGTGTTATATCATCGATAATAAAATAGAACGCGTTAAAAACGTTATCACATGTGTGAGGAGAAAAATATCTTAAAAAGAAAAAACGAAAAATTTGAAATAATAAAAGTTTCACTCGGTCATTTAAATTCTATTAACACTCTCTTATTCCGTTAGAAAATATTTCTAATTATGGCCACAAAGCGTAATTTATTCTTCATGAAATGGAATCGTTGATTCTCAAGGAAGTTTTTATGAGGAAATTTCTAAGAAACGTAACACAATTCCATTTACCATATTACGTTGCATTTATATACATTTAACATACTTACACACATTGAAAAATGCACGTTTTATTATTATTATATGTACTGGGTGGATTAATTGTGAACTGGTGGTGAACTGATTTTAGAAAAAATCAATTTCTAAGTTCATAAGTTTTATTCCCCAATTATTAATAATTCATAAGATTTATAATTAACGAATATAAATAACAAATTAGAATTGTAGTTTAACGATCTGAAAGAAATAAAAATTTATTTTAAAAGTCGCAAAAAATAAAATAGTTGATTGTTAAAATCGTTTAGAAATTATTGTAATTACCCGTTCTGTATTTTAATCTCAAATTCAGATGAGCGATATACTTGTAATTAATTATATTTAAATCAATCGATCAAATTGAAAAGTAAAATTTCCATTTCCTAATAAACGACTGTCCAAACAAAGAGAGAGAAATACGAGAGACCACCTGTCGTTGAATATATATATATATATATATATACACTCACACACATATACAAAAATATACACAACTCATTAGACTCAATTAATTCTCAAAATTATAAATTCCATTCGATTGAAAAGAACAATCGCGTTTCGACCTTTAACCAAAACAATTATGTAAAAGCACCTTTGCCAAGAATACGTAATAAATATCGTAAGAAAATATTTAAATAAAATTAAACATTTTTTTTGTATAATTTTGCGTGTATACACGTGTACGTTTATATCTACGATGAATTGACAATCGAATAAAAATTCCATACCGTTTGTTCTCTTTCTATTTCACGAACAAATAATCGAGGAGAGTTAACTTTGAAAAAAAAAAAACAAAAAAAAATCAAAGACAAAAAGGAAATAAAACGTCCAAAAGTAAATTAGATAACATAAATATAAATGAAAAACACGATAAACGAATGGGATTATTAAATAATAAAAGAAGTTATATTGGAAACATCTAACGATAATATAACGACAAAATTATCTATATTCCTTAGATGAGATTATCTTGGTGCAATTAATTCCATCGTCGTCGTTGTCTTTGTTGTTATTCTTTTTCATTGTCATCGTCGTTGTTATCATCATCGTTATAAGCCGAATGACGCAAATATTTCGGCGGCTATCTATTAATAATAATCGAGCCGGTGTTTCTCATGGTATCGAACCGTGTTAGGTATATACGGAAGGTTGAACACCCGGTGACCCGCAATAATCCTTTGGCCGATTAGTTTCTAACTATGGATAGAAACACCTGAGTAAGAAAGAGAGAGAGAGAGAGAGAGAAGGATAACGCGAGTATAGTTTTAAAGCAATTAGACACAAGAGAAAGAAAGAAAGAAAGAAAGAAAGATAAAGAAAAAGAGAGGAAAAGTTAAATAATTTTAAAGAATAAAAAAAATAAAGAGAAAGAGAGAGAGAGTAAGAGAGTAAGAGAGAAAAAGTTAGAGATAGTAGTAGAGAATGAAAAATAAATAAAGTAAGAAAGAGAAAGAGAGAAAGTTAGATAGTAGTAGAGAATGAAAAAGAAAGAGAAAGAGAGAAAGGAAGAGAGTGAGAGAGAGAGAAAGAGAGAGGAAAAATATAATCGTAGAACGGGACGAACCGGTTACAACCGAGTCAAAAAGGTACAACCAGGTTGTGCCTTTTGGGTACACACAAGCAATATTTTTGTCTATACTAATCCCGTCTGTATAGTATTGGATAAAAAATGAAGGAAAAAAATAGGGAGGGTTGGAAGGAAGAAAGGTATTTTATGTACTCTTCTAATACTTCTTATATGTAATATATATATACATATATGTAATATTTATATATTTACTTATATCTTTCTAACTCGAACCTAACGTTCGCTTAGATTTCATCGCACGGGGATGCGCGCAACTATCAGATTCTATCTATTTTCCTCATACACATACACACACACACACATATTCTCTCTCTCTCTCTCTCTGTCTCTCTCTCTCTCTCTCTTTCTCTCTCTATCGATTCCATGACCCAAAACACTGAGAGAGCAGTGTGCCGATTTGTTGGAAAGAGAAGACACGATCGACCGTCTTAAAAGCTTTTCTTTCTATTTCTATTACTATTACTATTACTATGAGAGAAATCCTTTAGAAAAGGGCACTCTATTTTCATATTCTATATTTATATTACGTTTACCTAAATGTAATATATACGTGTTTAGATATTTTATTTTCTTTTTTTTTTTCGTATTTCAAACAAAATCTTGTTAAATAAAAACAATCACGTGTATTGTGTGTCCCCTCTATTTCTTTCTTCCTTATTGTAACGCGGTGTTATACTCTATAATAGAATACATTTACAGAGTGAAATATGTGTATATCAAAGAAATCGTATACGAACACACACACGCGTTTATGTGGCTAAGAATATCCACAAATGTTATATCGCGTGGAAACTTCGTTTATACTCGTTGATTATGCTTGTATATAGAATATAATAGATATAAAGCTATTAGTATTATTCTCGTATAATTACTAAGTGTAAACACATTTTATAAAATCAAAAGATCTTTCTTTTAAATATTATACGAATTTTTTAATTTCATTTACGAAACCATTCTCCCACGTGAATAACTAACGGTGCCAAGAGCATTTAACGTTGGTGATGAAACGACGACACCGAAACGAATCGTTTCGAGCATCACCAAGAAGAAACGCGATCTATATACTAAAAATATCACATATTCGTACATATATATATACTTTTGTGTTTGTGTGTTTGTGTGTGCCTATAATGAGAACGATAAAAAAAAAACTCTTTCATTATTTTACGTTATATTATATTTAATACAAATGTATGTTATGAAATATGTAAAATATAGCGAGATGAGAGTTTATTTAGAAAACTCAAGCGTTGTTTTTCAAACAGATCGATGAAAATCCCTGTCATGTATTATTTGTCGTAATAAGAGAAAAGGAATATAAAAAAAATACGTAGCTTGCATTTTTCTTCAAAGCAATCCGACATAACGTGCCGAATTCAAAAGTAAATCTTGTTTTTTAATACGTTTGCGTAACGTTACTTATGATTTTCAAGTTATTCTGTATTAAGTATGTCGAAAATCGATTGTCGATGAAAATAACATTTGTAATACTGTTAATAAATAATATTGTTTATCATTTAATAAACCATTTTGACCTTGCTTATTGCTTAATATAGATCTTACAATACTAAACGATTATGGTATCCTATATTTTTGATTGTAATTTTTAATATTAATATTATTCCGACTTATTATATATAATATAACATATATGTATATTATTTATTTTGTTATACATAAAATACATCGAAAATTTTCTTCGCGTATAATATAATATATGTAATATAATAATGATAATAATAATGATATAGAAATAAAAAGATATATATTGTGACAGAGAAATGTATAGAATAATAGATAAATTACGTGTCCTATAAAGAAATATTATACTGATTGTAAATTATTAAGAAAAATATAGATATTAGGAGGGCAAATAAAGGGGTGGTGGTGGGAGGGTTGGGAGGGAAATTTACTCGAGCGAAAATGAAAACTTAGATGCGAGATTCTATCTTTAGGTTCGACACTGCAAAGCCGTTGGGAATATAGGTTACTGTCATCGAAATAGCCTCTGACTGAACATTTCCACTGACCCAGTAACACGAAACTAAATGTTAGCAGAGAAAGTAGAATATATCAGCGAATTTATACGTCTCTCATTACAATGGAATTTCATTGCGGAAGGTAAACGTTAGCTCATGCGTTACACGATCGAACACTAAATTTATATAAACAACGACTATTTTCGCCAAGAAAATGATTTCAACGTACGTAACAAGAAACCTTAGTTTAGATAAACGCCCCGGATATATATATATATAATATTTTAACTTCTTATACTCTTTTATCAAATTACAAATATTTTTTAATATTAATTCATTCGAAATATGATTTTTTTGTTTGTTATTTTATCATGTACTATGTACACCATTATGATAATATTACTTGAAATTTTCAATAAATTCATCAACGTACACGCTTTTACAAATAATTCCATTGAAGGAAAATTTCTAATCGAAATTTAGAACAATCCGTTCAACAGATTGAATTGTTGGATAATTGGTGGAAAAGTTCGAAGTAAATAGCCCTACGAAAGTATTCTCTTTCTCGCACTCTCTCTCTCTCTCTCTCTCTCTCTCTCTCTCGCGATGGCACGACTTAACCAGTTGATTCCGACTACCCGTAAGAAATAAACTCGTAACTTTTACTCCTTAGCAAATACGAAGACAGAACGTTTGTCTAAGTAAGTGATGGTATGTTGAAGCTTGTTTTACCTATAGTTGGATATAAATAGAAGAAAAAAAAGAAAGAAAGAGAGAAAGAGAAAGGAGAAGAAAAACTGAAAATGAAAATAGACGAAGAACCTTTGAGTTGGCTCATTAGAAAGAGAACTTCATTACGATACATATACATGAAAAAAAAAAGAAAAAAAAAGAGAAACAAAATTAAAGAAAAAAGTAGAAAACTTATAATAAATAATAGAAATTTTGTCAAACTTGTTAATACCATAGTAAATATAATAATAATAATAATAATAATAATATGTATATATTCCCTCCGATGCTTATAATACTGAAAATAATCACAGTGAGATGAAGTTAAATGACTCACCCTGTATACATGTTTCAATGAACGCTCGACATAAACGTAGCAACGTACACTCATACATAGATACATGAATACATAGATACATATATAAATACAACAAGCATGTACTTTTAAACCGTGGGACTGTTACGGGCTTTATCTATCGCATAGTCTGAGCGTATAGCAAGGTAACAAGAATGATTCAAATGGAGGCTGTAGTTTTGCAGGATCTTGTCGAATGTAAGTTAGTCGAATTGTTACTCTTTCCTCGTGGAAAGTTAGTTTCGCTTGGCTCGTGTCACATTGGATACATATATGTAAGTATATTACCTAAACGTCACCTAAACGTCACCTAAATGTTTACTTAGAACGTTGAAAACGTGTTTAAATAAAGTAATAAAGCAAACAGTTTTTTCTCTTTCCACCATACGAAGAATAAATTCGAGACATCTGCCACAGCTTTAATGTATTCTTTTCCACCTGCATTATGTGCAACCTAAGTGCAGCTGCTTTTTGATTATCATCGACTATTACTACTCTCTACTACTTACTCTCCCTTCGGTTGAAGTTAACCATTGGCACGTGAGCACACCTCATTCGTACATTGAAAGAAAATTTTATTAATGAAATACGAATCGTGAATACGATTTTATTCCCTTTTCTCAATAACCATTATCGGGCTAATACATTTTCTTCGTTTATAACTTTGTAAAAGGAAAAAGTAAGAGAGAAAAACGATGTTTGATCTAATCACATTTATTATGATTTCTTTGTAATTATTTTACGAATCATATTTTCACATTTAATTTCTTTGAATGCATATAATTTACAAATTTTCACGAAAATATCTTTAACGAAATATCGAACTTACATTCGTACGTGGTGAGTGAAATGTATAATATATTTTATGTAATATAAATTATATATGTCAATTTTAATAAATTATATTTAAGAAAGAACGATGCCTTATAACCGTTACAATAATATAATTGAATAGTCTTGCTTTCGGATGAATTTCAAAATAGGTGATGCATAGATAGGTAATCCCTTACTCCGCTCGTATATTATAATATAATTATATATGGTAAGATATAAGAAACGATACAGGAAATAATAATACATAATACGATTTTCAAGGACTGTGATTTCTATGCAAAAAAATAAAAAACAAATGAAAGAAAGGGGAAAAAAAAAAAATATTTCACAATATTCGCAATCGAATAACAAGTCCGATACAGGAATGTATGTTTAATACATACATTCTATCGATTTGATTGACTCAATAATCGTCGTCGTATCTCCGTTTTTTTTTTCTATTTTACATTAGAACAATATTTAATATTACACGGACAAAACTGATACCAACTTACCCTTTTTCTTACACATGTTTTAATTTTAATCGTTGTTTTATTAATCAGCCCCAACCCGGATGCAATCTTATCATGTTGCTTTGATAATTTGTGGCTATGCTCTTAAATTTGTAATAAATTTTTCTACAAATAAGGATTTATAAAAAACAAAAAATCTTCTTTAGAGAAATATTATTTAACATCTACGCGAGATCGAAATCAATATTATAGTAAATGAAATATAAAGTACAAGCATTTTCTTCTCCCTTTATTTTTCTATGGTAAACACGTAACGCGATGCACGTGGAATTGATAATTCATGGATATTAATAATTTTTCTAATGAAAATGAAAGGAATTCTATTGAGAAATATGATCCTAACTCTCTACGATCCAAATCAATATTGTATTAGGTGTAATTCGAGTACGAACATTATTTTTTCCAATTTTTCTATGGTAACGCGATGCTTGTGGAAAATCGATAATTCACGGATGCAAAATATAATATCTATATTAAAAATAAAAAAAGAAAATGATTTCTATTGAGAATTATTATTGTCCTACGGCGTGTAATTATAAAATCAAAATTAATACTGTAACACGAGTATAATCATTGTGAATTACAAATAGAATCTGTTTTTCTCAAATTATTTCTACCGTAAACACGTGAGCAGACAATGCTTACGGAATACAATTGGTTCGTTCGATGTTAGAGGGTTAATTAAAGCTATCCATGAGAGTAGAAGATAGCTCCTTTCTCAGTGGAAATTAACGTTAGGAGCTAGTGGCCTTCGCCTCTGTGGATAGATGGAACCAAGAAATATTTTATCGCTCGACGTCACAACGTAACCTCGTAACGTGAGCTTAGTACGAACGAAAACTTATCTCTCTCTCTTTCTCATACACACACACACACACACATTTTCAAATACTCCATTTCTATCTTTTTAGCTTCTCTCGCATAACAAATTTCCCTACAACCTATTCGATAACGTATCTAAAATCTTAAAAAAAGATTGGTAAAAAATCATTTTCATATTCTAAAGAAAATCATGTTTTTCTTTTTTTGGCACGAATTACGTACGATAAAAAGGAGAGGACGATCGATAACGTCAAATATTAAACGTCTTCTCTTTAATTGGATCTTCTTAGATCGATAAATATTAAATAAATATCTGTAAAAAAATATAAAAAATTATTGTATCAAAGATAAATTAATATATCTATGGAAAAAGAAATATTTTTCCTGATTACGAATCAGGTTGATAAATTCATTAAGTAAAATTTTGGTTATTAAATTAATGAAAATTCGATCTGAAAAGATTTGAAAAAAAAGATATTCCAAGCTATAAATTACGTATTAATATAACTGTAAGTGGATAAAAATAGCGAAGAAGAATTTACGGCAGTCACATTCATTGAGTAGAATTCTTTATTAGAGGGATACTCGAGGAGAACAGGAAATGGCAAGCGAGAAGCGTCAGGTGTAGAACGTCGATCTTAAAGCGGACGCAAAAGCAACGGTTCGCCGCGCATCTCTTGATACATCCCGGAAATGAGGCCGCGTGCGAAAGTTCTAGAACTTTCCAATCTCTCGGCCATGCAGGCAACGTCGTCCACAAGGCATTCTCGTAGAACTCACGAATGGGAGAAAACTTGACTTAACGCTACCTATCTCTTTCATTCTTTCTTTCCCTCCCTTTCTCTTTCTCTCTCTCTCTCTTTCTCTTTCCCGCTCCCCCATCTCTCCTTTCCTTACTCTTTCTTTCTTTCTTTCTTTCTTTCTTGTTATTTCTTTTTCTTTTATTATTTTACTGTTTAACTCTCGACATGACGCGGAACGAAAATAAGAATTGTTCAAACGAAACGGAAAAGATCGTAACGTAAGGCGCCGGAAACAAGAATTTTTACCGAGGAAGCTCCTTGGCTCGTAACGCGATTGGTTAACGTAACGCGCATGGCAGAAGAAGTGGGAGAGGATAAAAACGGGAGAAAGAGAGAAAGAGAGAGATGGACTACAGCGACCGCGCGGTTCTGACCCTTAACCGCAAGTCCGTCGGTAATTAATAACCGCCGCGATTAAAAATCCAACGAATAAGCTATATGATAATAAACAAACATTGGACAGAGGACATTTTAGATTAGATAAATAAAAAATTATATGATATCAATTATTTTTTATATCTTCTTTAAACGTCGAACGGACTCGAGGATTAAAACGTGAACATCAAATTCGTGGCAATGGTTGGTCAATTGAATCGCGTCGTAGGTATTTATCAACTACCGCGTCACCGATGAATCTAATCTTGACTATGAAATTACTTCTCGGAAGAGATATTGGCGGGAATAAAAACGTTACTTCGTAGACATCGAGATAGAAACGATTTTTAAAATAAAGTAAGAAAATAGATAAAAAGAAAAAAAAGGAAAGAGAAACACGGACCGTGAAAAACGTCTATTCCGATTTATAAATAAGTATATAGGATGAAAACTTTCTCTAACAATGCGAACGCGGCGGCGGATTCGTGGGTTTGTTCTAAAGGGGTTCGATCGAGGCGCCATCTGTAATCGAGCGGGAAAGAAAAACGTTTGAAGGCCGCCGGCCGGGCCAAGCAGCTCGGCGGGACTCGGGCGAATCAGTGTGCGAGTCTCTCTGCCATTTGCGCGTCGGTACCCGGCTACGCGACAACACAGAGAGTTGTGTTACCGGAATTCTACGTGTGTTCGCCGGTGCGTAAAGAGGACGCGGCTCTCTCATTTGGTGCGTTCGTTATAACGCGTTTTGGTTCTCAACCTTTTCAACGATAATCTTAACGGATCTCAAGGATGGCGGATACGGAAGTAAAGTAAGTATTAAACGTTATTATATTATTATTATTATTAATATTGTTACTACTACTACTATTACTACTGCTACACTACTACTCCACTACACTACTACTACTACTATACGATTAAACTACGATTTTGGAAACGAAGTAAAAATCGCGCCTCGCTATTGCTATCTCTCTTTCCCCCTTTCTTTTTCTCTCCCTTTCTCTCTCTTGCTTTCCTTTATTCTTTTCATTTTACATTATTTGCAACCTATCGCAATAGCAAATCTTTTTATTTATAAATCGAATTAATATAAGGTAACCAATCCTATATCGTATCGATAAAATAAAATCGAATGGAGATCGTCGTTAATGTTGAAAACTCACGGCGAAAGAGATCGGGGTGCATTTGAAATCATTGCTTTTACCTTGTGGTGCTGGCGTTCTAGCGCGCGCGCATCAACGCCAACTTGTGTGCATGATATAAGAGAGAGAGAAAGAGAAAGTGTATGTGTGTGTGTGATATACCGCGCACGCACACACGCATGCGCGCGTGTGTTACACACTTGTATATAATACTTGCTTGTGTATTTGTATGTGTATTGTTGCTTGTTGGCTTTGCGTGCGCGGCGGATCGTACTCGTGTAGTACGTCGCTATGTATTATACACACACTCATCGTATATATAGATATTGTACGCTCAAGTGTGTGCGTAGAGAGTTTTGTAAGAGCGCTATGCGCGCGCGTGTAGAAAAGGGCGACCCGGGGGGAGGGGTTGATGATGAAGAGGTGAAGAAGGGAGAACGCGGGAAAAAGATAGAAATAGAGGTGGTAAAGTGGGAGAAGGAATAGAAAGAGAGGTGGGCGGAGAGGGAAGATACGTAAGCGCGCAACGTTCGGTGCGCGCGCGATTACCTGTGCCCTCGGCACGATGCGTGCTCTACTTGCGAAGCGTGGCCCCTTTCCCATCCTCCTTTTTTTTTTTTTTTCAACTTCTTTATCTCTCTTTTCTGTTTCTTTTTTTTCGCAAACATTTCTTTTTTCCACTTGAATCGGTTTCTTTCATTGAAACGTCTTTAGTAAATAATACGCTCGTATATATATGTATATGTGATCGTTGAAGAATAGTTGCGTGTTCATTTATTTCCATACATTTTATTTGTTTTACAATTAAAACGAAGAGATCGCGTGAAAAATATTTGGTAATATATATTATATTTGTATTAACAGCATTCCATTTAAGGTTCGTCTCTTGTATCTTTTTTTTCTTTGTTTTTTTTTTTTCTTTCATGGTACTCTTTCTTTTTTTTCTTACTTTCATATTATATTATATATGTAAATGTAAATATATAATTGAAGTTGGTGCGTGTGTAAACGTTATCGGTATCGTGCTCGGTCATCCTCAACGCGCGGCTCGTTTATTTATATCGCACATATCGACATTCAACTTTCTTCGTTCACATTATTTTTTCTCACATAAAAAAGAGAAAGAGTATCTCTATATGTGTGTATATGTTTATGTAATGCGTGTATGATGAATTGTGGAGAATAGTAAGAAAGTAATAGAGAAAGGAACAATTTTGGCGGCAAAATAAAGAATATACTTATCATCTCTCTTTCTCTTTCTCTCTCTCTCTCTCTATCTATCTATCCTTTGTATATACCGATATATTACTATTACTATTAATACGTCATCAACGTAGGTTTATAGAAGAAAAGAGATAATCTTTTTTTCTATATCGTTAAAAGTAGCGAGGACGAGGTCAGAAACGGCGTCGTTTCGCAAGAGCCTTGTGGCGCGCAAGTTACGACCGGCGGCTTCTAAAAGAGAACGGGACAGCGTATCGATCTGTGTTTCCTCCCTCGTCGCCGTCACTGGTTAGAGGATGATACGAGAGAAAAGAGAGAAGACCGAACTCTCTCTTTCTGTGTGTGTGTGTATGTGTTGTGTTGTGTTGTGTTACGCTCCGCTCGATTTGCTCTTGAAGATACGCTTAGTTTTCGAGAAAGAACAATTTTTTTTATGGACAAAACATGTTTCTTCGTAAAAACTACGACTAATATATCTTTGAGACCTGTTGAATAAATAAACATACATTTTTTTTTACGTATCAAACGTGTTGTACATGCATGCATACATATACATACATAGGAAGTAAACGAGAGGGAGGGAGAGGAAAAGAAAGGCCACAGGTATATTTGTGGTCCACGCGAGAATTTGCCGCGCGATGCTCAAGCATCTGGATCGGTGTGTTGTTGGACTACGGAGGAGTAGGGGAAATAAGTGGCTAATGCTAACGCCGTGTCACTAGATGTCGTTACCGTTGGGGCGTCCGTTCTCCATCTCTCTTTATCTTCTTTCACTTTCTCTCTTTATTTCTCTATATCTATTTGGTTCCTTTCTTGTGTTTCATTTTTCTTGTTTAGAGTTTTTTCTATCGCGCGCAATTAATGAAATACGAAAATCCTCATTGTGACTTGATATTGATAAACGTCTGTTTTATACCGCATCGATCGTCACGATGACGCACCTTTCTTCTATTAACTGTTCTTCGTCTTTGGTCAAGGTGTTTATAAATATATTCTATAGGTAGCACGCGCTCTCTTGTTAGAGAACGTATGCCTTTATTTTTGTCTTCTTGTTTTTCTTTTTATGATCAAACTAGAAGGTTTTTTTACCATATTTCTTTTTTTTTTTTCAAAGTAGTAATACATAAATAGATTGACCTTGATTGCTGCATTAGTTTCTTCAAAATATTTTGATTATATGTAAGTTGAACCAATGTTATTTGAATTATTTAGGGATACAAAGGTTGCTACCACCAGCCCGGAGAAAAAAGTGGTAGAAGAAGAAAAGAAAGTAGTTCAGGAGGTTGACGAGGATTCTAAAACCTCGGAAAATGGTCAAGCGACAGAGACCACAGAAAATGGTTCTAGCGAGGAGAAGGAAACCGAGGAGAAGGAAGAAGAATCCACCGAAAATGGTGATTCCACAGGTATATATTTTTTGCGTTGAATATAATGTATAATGTTAATTCTTTGGTAAAACATTCTTTTTCATTAGAATTAATATTTGTGTAACAGTATTTTTTGTTTAACTCGCTTATTTTAGACGCACCAGCCGATAGCTGTTGCATAAAGAGGAAATCAACGGCTTTAAATGACGCTGCAGAGGACAATGCTTTGGATGGTGCAAGCCCTGAAAAAAAATCTAGACTCGAAGAGAAATGTGCTGAAGCAGAGAGCAATGGAGATGCAGAAGCCACAGCTTAATATCTTCTTGTCATTACTATTCTCAATCCTTATCTTATAGAATCAATTTTAATGGCTAAGCGCGAAGTCAGAACAGATTTAATTATGACTGTGCATCGTCAGTAGGGGCGAGCATTTTATATCAAAGATTGATATTATGCTAATGACATTTGGCATTTAGTACATCTATGTGTGTTTATTGCAATAACTTTTTATTAATATCGGCAATAACAAGTATGTACATTCATACTAACACAAATCTCTCAAAATTCATGAACATCGATTCTGTCCCCCCGTACTCTCTGGCATCCGCATATATATATTCATTTAGCATTAGACTAGTAAAGTAAGAGACGCATATAAATAATTTTAGGAATAATATATTTCTAACTTCTTAAAAATGGACAAACACAGTGTGGTGCCTGAAAAAAAAAAGAAAGAAAGAAAGAAAGAAAGATACATTTGTGCAAAATATTTCACTTACTAGTCCCCATTGTTTCTGATGCACAGAAGTAGGTATAGGTGAATAAACTAATCTCATAACCAGAGATAAAAGATACATTATTTTTCTGCGAATCAAAATACATTCCTAAAGTAGAATACTTGTATCTTCAAGTATTTATTTACTCTATGACAACAAGAACAGAAACAAATATATATATCATTTAAAAGCAAAATCTTTACTCGCGATTTATACATAATTGTGTATAACATTTTACTCTGTACTTTCATTGGATTTACAATAATAATAATGAACTCGTCATGTTCTCGATATATCTGACGAACGCGCGCAGTATTTGAAATTTGAAAGAAAACCTAATTAAAATATTCGAGAAATAATTCTCTCTTTGCCTAATGTAGTCTACATGCCAGGATTTGTAACGAATCGCACTCCGTTGGAAATTTTTGTAAAAGTAAACAGTTTTTTTTTTTTTAATTTTAATGGTAAATCTGTGCAATTTACAAAGTTTAACTTTAAAGAATTGTGTTCAATAATACATAATAACATGTATATGTATGTGTATATAGACATATACTGGTGAGTAAACATACCTGATTGTGCTAACAGCAGTAAAATCACTGCATTTATTTTTAATAGCAATTCTATGGCCGTGACACATTTCGTGAAAAAAAAAGAAAGAAAAGAAAATTCAAATGTATCCCATAGAGAATCTATATATCATATAAATATAAATGTTAAATGCAAATAATTTGAAAGAAAAAAATATCGAACGATTCGTACATATAAAAATTATGTACTACATTTGGTACTTATATTAAATTACTTTGTTCGTAGAGCCAGATTTTCCGTAATTTGATTAATTTTATAAGTATCGATGAACAGCTAACTAACATATTAGAAGTAATTAGGAATGCCTATACTCTACGAACATTATTTCTATTTTAATTATGTCTCCCATTCTTTCTTTAGATATTTTTTTGTTTTATTTAGGTTTGACAGAGATATATCAAAATTAATACTAAATAATAAGTTCGGTATCGACATTTCTAACATGCAGATATATGACAATACTAATTATAAGAAATTAATTGAAATTTACTTTTTATTTTGAGTTTAATCTAAGAATATAATAATCTATTTTATTTATTTTATATGTGCTAAATTTGAAGAGTATAGAAGCGTATACTATTTATAGTTCAAAAGAATTAAGAAAAACTAATTAATTACTAACGTTAAAAAAAGAAAAAGTCGCTCTATGAACAAGTCAAATGTGACTAAATCTATTAATAGTCTTTTTTTTATTTTATGTATGTAAACATATATATATATATATATATATATTCGTATTTTGCGTCACAAATAGAAAATATATTTGTAGCAGTGACGGGGCAAATACAAAAATGAAAAATAAAAATATTTTCAACGGTGACTTATCGCGCGTGTATAAACAAAAATTTACAATTGAATGTGTTCAATATTAAAAAAATTGAAAAATTAAAAAATACAAAAAAGCAATAATTAAACAATAAAAATTCTTGAGTACTGAAAAATATACTTTCTGGTAAATGTAAATCTTTCGTAAATAATTATAATTGTTCAACTAATAACAAGACATATCTGATAAGTGAAATGGTATACTAAAATTTATAATTAAAATTATAAAAAAAAAATATTTAAAAATTTGAAATACGATAAATTAAATTTTTGATTGAAAAATTACAAAAGAAAAAAACTATTTTATATACGATACTACTCTAAATTATAAAATTTATTAATTATAATATAATTATCGATTATTGTGTTGTTTATGTGTGTGTGTGTGAAGATTCTTTTACACGCATCCACGTGTATCCCTTATTTATATGTATCATGTATGATGGTAAGTGTAAAAACGGTCGGTAATGTTTTTACACATTATGAGAGATGAAAAATTCGAATTTAATCTATATTAATCTTTGGGAGCCCATCCAAATATTAATTTATTTAATAGAACGTATAAAACACAACGTTATTCTAAAAATAATTAAAAAATTTATATTAATAAATCTACTTGATCGATCTCTTCGTCACTTAAGATTCACTTTATAGGAGAGCACAGTAACGAGCGCCATCTATAAAATCCAAAATGTTTTTAAAAAAATGTTTTTAAAACGCTTGACGCGTTTTCTCTATCAATTTAGAATATTGCAATTATTACATGAGTGTGTTAATTAATAGTGATTTATAATAGTGATAAATAATATTGTGAAATATATAAGTTATTAATGTTTACATTTTTATAAAACAAGATCAAGAAATGAATACCAAACCTTTATTTTCTAAACCTGGTACGTATAAACGTTCAATATTTTTATTTATAATGATATAAACTTTGTTATTTAATTTTATAATATTATTTATAAAAATATATTCTACTGTTATTATTTTTATTTACATGTTAATGCAGTTTGATAATTTTTACGTATTGTCGAATTTCATAACCTATCTTTTGTGTTTACTTTCCATATATTGTATTTTATTATTAAAATATACGAGTGATATTTGTTCGAATTGATAATAAAGTATAGTTTATATATATTTTTAGGAGCTTCGACATGGCAGGAAGACAGACCAGATATCGATGCACATTCTTCAACTCAGTTTGTCTACAACGCTCATCATTCTCTTGCACTGGATATGCAACGCAAGCGACTACCTATATTCAGAAATAGAGATCATATAATATATTTGCTTGAAAAATATCAAACTCTCGTCCTGGTAGGAGAAACTGGATGTGGCAAAAGTACGCAGTTACCACAGGTAATTAAACGTATAATGATTAAGTAACAAATTTTGCTTTATACGCTTTCTTTCATATAATTACCTCCTTTTAACACTGTTTAATAATTCCATTAAATAATTCTATCTGTGCTAATAATGGTAAAATAATTTTCAATCTGATAATGTATGACAATTGAGTAAAAAATATTTTTAAATTAATGTTTCAAAAGGAAAAAATGAATACAAATAAAAGTTATTGAGCATAATAATAGGAATAAGCAAATAATAAGTAAAAATCAATATCTAAACAATCATTTTGTATGTATATATATATATAGATATATATTTCTAAAGTAGTTTATATAAGAAAATAATTTCAAAGAAAAAGTACTGCAATCAATTCACCTAAAACAATTATCGATATTATTTCTATTTTACGTAGATATACATAAATATATATATACAAATATTTTTTAACTATACACTAACGTAAGATTCTCCCTCCGTATAATATTACGTTCGTTCGATAAAAGGGTCAAAAGTATCTTTTACCTTAGTTTGTTTTTTATGACATACAAGCGTACGTCCAATCGTTCTGACCGATAATACGCGATAAAAAAGGAATTTATTTAAATGCGCATGTGACTATTTAAGGCTTTTTATAATTTAGTTATAATTTTCGAACTTCGAGGTCTCGGTTGAATGAAAATTAATTATGAAACGACAACGATCGGACGATGAATGTACAAAATTTTAATTTATCGAATTCTCAAAGTAAAAAAAAAGATAAGCATAAAAAATTCGGTTTAGAAAGAAATAAAAAGAAAGAAAAATAGAGAAAGAGAAAAAAAAGAGAGGTCACAGACAGGAAGGGTCGAAAGAGTGAATCGATTTGTTAGGAATATAAAAGTATCGAGGGGTTGAAAAGAAGCCGTTCTTTCGTTTCTTTGACATAATGGACGAGAGAGAAGCCACATCGAGAGAAAAAATGTGTTAGTTAAAAGGAAATTTTTTTTTTTTAATATAAAACGAGAATAATATATTTGACAATTCTGTTTTGTCCCCAGCCCCCTTTTTTTTTATATCTAGGAAAAGAAGATTGAGAAATTTTTGTCGGCTTTTTTTTTCACAATATTCTATCTATTCGTTTCTTCGATAGATAAATAGACAAATAGATATAGTTAATTATAAACATTCAAAAATAAATAAAAAAGAAAAATTTTTGAATTGCAAATTAAATGCCAGAAATATGTAAAAAGTAAACAATAGAAAGGATAAAATATAACAAAACAAAATTCTTTATCTTCCGAGAAATAAAATGGCGAAAAAAAAATAGAAAGCAATTTAAATTTACACAACATATATATATATATATTATCGACTATAATATATAAAAAAAGAAATCAAATAAAATGAAAATAATTAAATTAAATTAAATTAAAAAATACATTAAATGTATATTCTACAATTTTCTTTTTCTTAAGAAATAAAAAGAAATAATATAGGTGAATAAAAAAATATATAAAGAATGAAAAAAAAACTTTCTTGTAGACGATTGTTCGTCAATGATAAAGTATTTGCGAGGGGAGTGCGCTAAAATGGTATGGGGGCAGAGAAGGGGAAAAAGTGTGCGTATGGGAGTGGAAGGTTGAAGAAGAGAATAGTTGAGAATGAGATCTATGCGTGACCACGTGCGATGCGACGACGCATGGAGACGATCGTCATTGTAAGTTAAGCTAGATTATTGAAGTTCGAACAACTCTCCGAGTGAGTCTCTCAGTAAGCCTTGGCACGATCTACCGAATGGTATAAAATTTTCATTCATCAGATGGCAACGACACGTATCTCATTAGATCCGTATATTTAATCGGGAATCAATACGATCGATTATATATATTTTCTTCAATTTTTTACAAATATTTATTTTTTTTATTATAATAATAATACGATTATAAGTGCGTGTGTGTGTGGTTGAAGAATTAAAAAGGAAACAACAAACATTCTGTGTTCTACGAAGAAGCTAATTATATATATAGAAAGAAAGAGAATAAAAGAAAGAAGTTAGAATTTGGGAATATATTGGTTTTGACCGCATAAAAATAACAAATAAAGGAAATATAACATGGCCGTTCATTTTGATTTGGTTAACAAAATAGCTCTGGTGATTATCGCTATATCAATGGTGTATTTCATCGTGATGGATGTATTATTATATTCGAGAGTAAAGAATTATCGTATAAGAGCAACAACTAACGATACGCCGTATCAACCAACGATACCCTGTAATTTGAATCCTCTTTGCGCGGTAACAGTGAAAGGTTTGACATTGGATCATCCAAATCATTTTCTTCTTAGTCCATTGGCCGCCTTGATGGATAAAGTATTGGGAATTAGTCAATATTGGAATTGGTTGACACCGAATATGATTAGCGGTTTCCACGTGTTGGTTGCTGTATTAGCAGGTAAATGTGTATCGAGCGAATCCCTAACTCAAAGACGTCTCGGTGCGATATTATTTCAAGTGAGAACATAGCTAGACGATTTGGACGGCCACGTAGCGAGACAGAGAGCTAACATATCGGGTGAACGATCGGACGTTGGTTCACCTGGTTATTTCGTAGACGGTTTTTGCGATGCACTTGGATGCGTTGCCTTGATAACCGGACTTTATTACTTTCTTATTCGCTCTCCACCCAGACGAGGAGGATACGATAAACTGCAGATCTTACCTTTGACCTCTGTCATATTAGATGCCCCATCGTCGTCATCTTCTTTTCCGAACATGTCAATAAGGAACATCGCACTTCCTAATGTCCTCCTTATAATCGGCCACCTGATCGTAGCCAGTGCTGCATGGAACCGTTACATCTGGCTTTACCAGGATCTTCTGGATTTAGACATCGAGCCATTCTCCATCAATACAGAACTCCTACACCTAAGGCAAACCAATGTACTCAGAAGTAACTCGTTTTGGTTCGTTGCTCTAGGATGGAAAATGTTAAACGTACATGCCGCCATGGATTATCTTTTATTGGCTATATTTTTCAATCGCGTCTGGGAATATATCAAATTGTCCAGATGGTCGTCCTACGTTCTTATATTTTTACTTATATATTTGACTGAATTTCATTACCAATATGCTTACGATTATATACACATGGTACCCATGATTCTCGGTAGCGAGAGATCTTCTTTGATAGGCCTTAATAATCGATGAGATTATCTATTTATCTATCTTATCTCTCTCGAATCATTTTTTTCTTCTTCTACTTCTTCTTCTTCTTGTCTTTTAGTTAACAAACTTATCTTTTGATAATTCGATATTTTATTGATACATTTTTCTCGTTCATAGTATTAGGTACATAGGTATACTATTCACATAACATATACGAATAATACATATTTTAATAAGAAAGAATACAAATTTTATTTAATTTTGTATGCATTTTTATATCAACTTTCAATACACATCTCACTTCGATATTTATATGTTATATATTGTTTAGAGTATATAGAAAGAAATAAGAATAAAACTATATTTCATATTGTTATGACTCTATAGATACTTTAATCTTATCGGTATAACGCAATTTTTTTTTTATGTTTCGGCTTAGAAGCCACAATTCTAATAATAAGATAAGATAGGCAAAAATTTAATAACAATAATTACGTATGACCATCGTTATGGTAGTCGAAATATTAAATTTAATTAGATAAAAATAATCTTGGCTATTTCAGAAGAGACAATAATCAATAAACAAAAATAATCGTACAATTTAAGAAAAGAAATCGTGAATTTTAAAACGCGTGTTTAAAAAATGTGGCGATAATTTTTGGATTGATAGCAATATTGTTTTTTTCTTTTTTTTTTTTTTTTTTTTTTTTTTTTTCTCTTTTTTTATATCAGAGAATACGTTTGATCTATCGATCGAACTTGAAACGTACAGCGATTTTTATTTTGATAATAATATTTTGAAACATTGATAGTGATAATTGAACAAAATTTTGATTGTACGATTTATAAATAAGAATTTACATTCACAGATCAAACTTATTAAAAGCGATTAATAAACAATAATGCCTTAAAAGTATATTTATATATATATATATATTTATAAGAAATTTTATCGTCGTTGTTATATAGAAATAACGTTTAAGTAAAACGATTAGTATTAAGAAGAAACAAAAGATAAAGAGTCTTTTATAAACGTAATAAAGCTTTTAAGTCAATACGTAGCGATAACGTTTTGACACAGATATAACGTTATTTTAATTCAATAAATACAAATTAACGTGCCTAACTATTATTTCAACGTTATTACTTAAAATTATACCTTACATATTCATAATATACAACAAAAATTATACATAATTATAATTCGTAACAATTAAAGTTTCAAAAAAGGTTTTTAATAAATGCGATTGTTATATATTTTTTCTGTTGTTAAAACCTTTTTTTGTCTTTTAGTGTCCTTTTTGTCATTTCTAATCGCAACGTTCACTGAATCATACGATCCGTTAGATAAGATTAACAATTTCAACGAACGGGAAGTGAACAGAATAATAGAAGATATATTTTTTATATCAATTTATTTTCCTCCTTAATATCTCATAACTTTGGAAAAATTGTATTTCGAATACAATATTACGAGACGTCGTTCGTATTAAAAAAACAGATTAATTATATATATATATATTCACTGTTAATTAGTTACTTCGCATGTTTTAAGTTTTTAATTATGCATTTATGTTGTTCTATGTCTATGATGTATAATTATTTTTTTTTTCTCATTTTTTTCTTTCCTTTTTTATATCGTTTTCTATCGTTGTTTCAATTAATTTGATCGCAGTATGCGTATAAACACTTGAAAGAACAAAAATAATGGTCAATTTTATTACAAATTTTATTTATGATATTTACTTGGTACTTTATATTATAGTAATTGTTTATATATAAATGCGTATACGTAAAGATCTTTTCACCGTAATTACATTCGAACGAATAAAAAAATTCTCACAAAAGAAGTTATGTGACTGACATGAACAACAAAAATACGAGCAAACTTTGCGATTTTTTCTTTTTCATACGATGAAAACGCACAATGGGTTGTCGACAAAGTTTCT